AATTTCATGCAAAATTAGAACATAGAGCAAAGGATTGAGTATTTCTAACTGTGGTGTTAAGCTGTGGAATGAGTTACTAGATAAAAGCGTACACAAACATAAAACTATTTGAATTTAAATATAAAACACCAACTTATGATGACAAAATAGGAAAAGATTTATGTTCTACGGCTTTATATAAGTGACATGAGTTTATTTAGTATTGAATTGCAGGAAACGGGTAAATAAGCACAGTATGCTCAGAAGATGGGTGGTATGTTTTAACCTCCCGCTCTTCTTGAAATGGTACTGCTGCTTTATTTGTGTCCAAGTGTGTATTTTATCTTTAAATTAAAACCACATTGTTCAATTATAAAGAACATAATAATGTACTTTTAACTCCCCCTGGATCACAGCTTCATGGTTAGCAGCTGTTTCATCTTACTCTTCAAAGGATCTTTGTGAAAAGATAACTGAGCTAAAGCTCTTGGTTAAAATTAACCCTTATTTGTTTTGTTGTTAATTTGGCATTAATGTGTTTTATTTGCACAGTTAATCAGAACTGTAAAGAACAAATCTGCAGAAAGAGTTGCTCTCCTGCTTTATAAACAAAGCATTTTGTTTCAAATGAAGTAATAATGAATAAAGTTCTGGAGCTTTCCGATAGCCCTGAGCAGCTAACTGAGCTAAAACAGCCATCCAAACAGGGTCCTTTTTATTGTGTTTTAAATTAATGCAAACCTAAAAAAAAATCTGTCTGTTTTTATTCATTACTGACCAAACAAACTCTTTACAGAGATGGTTATCAAGATAATCATGGAATCACAACTCGACATTGAAGGTGAGACTTCTAAATGCAAATGTACACATTTAGACTTGTCATTGTTCAGCTCGTCTTAATTTCTCAATTATTATTTTTTTTTGTCTAAGTAAGATATACCGTAATAATTTTCGTCTCATCTTTTTCAACCTGCCATGCAGATTTCTGTTTGTGTTGTGGGACCAAGGACATAGAGATTTTCCATCCCCTTTTCAAAGGCGGCCTCTGCTTGAAGTGTAAAGTAAGAAATGGGCCAACCTGTCTCTCTTTGTGTTGCAGCTGTGTGATTATTTTTATTTTATTCATTTTTTTAAAACCTGAGCCACAAAAACGTATATTACATCTAGCCTTAGAGAATGAAGAGATTGCTAAAACAGCAAATCCCAGAATATATTGGAACAGCCGGTACTCTCAGGTCAGAGTAATGTTTGCTGAAGCTGACAAGAGAGAGCTTATCCTCCTCAATGATGTATGTAAAGCTACGATCTTAACCAGGAAGTGTGGAGGGTCCTGTAGCTCTTCAGGATTCACCGTGTTGCTACTGAAATTGGTCTCCTGTGTCATACAGTAGATATTACCACATATATATGGTCAAACTGATTTTTCATTTTTGTGCGTAATTAGCAAAAATGCCAAATAGATAACTATTTTCTAGCTGGAGAATTGTATGGTCAGTTTTTTGCTTTTTCAAACAAAGTGGAAGAAAAAGATAATTGGAAAGTGTGACTGACCTTCAGAAAGTCTGGAGATCAGCTGATCATCTTCATGGATTAAAAAAAGGTTTGATCTTAGGGAGGAACCTTCTAGATATGTGGAGTCTATATTTGACAATCAATAATTCTTCATAATTGTTTCTTCTTAAGAGGAAAAAGAAATTAATGCATGGTGAAACACCAGTCCCAATCAGTCCAGGCTAAATCTGTAACCTGTTACATGTCCTGTGGTTAACTCTTTCCGCCTGCAGGATAACTTCACAGAGACCCTGTATCGCTATGATGAAGACGGATACCAGTCCTACTGTACCATCTGTTGCTATGGGATGGAGGTCATACTATGTGGGCATGATGGCTGCCACAGGTTGGTTTGTATTCCTTCTTTCTTAAGCCTGTAGCCCATGGATAAAGGCTACGTTCACATGCTCAATTCCGATTTTTTTGCGAAATCCGATTTTTTTTGCGTTGCTGTTCATATTTCCAAATATATGCGACTTGTATGTGATCTCCTGTGTGAACTGCAGTCATACAACGCAAGTGTCCCGCATGCATAGTTGAGGACGCAGTGACGTCACAGGCCAGCGTGCTCTTTGTTTACAGAAGTGAACATGGATGGTAGTGCTGGAGCGCATCTAGCGATCTTTTCCAACCATAAAAACTCAGTCTTTTCAAGATGGTTTAACATAAATACTACTCCCTGCACCATCATCTGCCATGGTTGTTGTTTTTCTTGCCACTTCTGTGTAGCAAGACGCATAGTAGTATAATAGCATATTCAGGTCGGATGAATCCGACCTGGCCATTCATACACAGGTCGCATTTGAAAAGATCAGATTCGTATCGGATTCAGGAACACATAGCCAAGTGGCCTGGGTCGGATTGGAAAAAATCGGATCTGTGTTGTTCAGACAGCCATTTAAAAAATAAGATCCATGTCGTATATGGCCAAAAAAATTCGGATTTGGGTCACCTCAGGCTGCAGTGTGAACGTAGCCTTAGTTTATTTCCCTTTACACACCTGGTTTATCTGCTGTTTGATCTTCAGGTCTTACTGTGAAGACTGTCTGAACATCCTTGCCGGCCCAGGGACCTTTGACTCACTTAAGGTCGTGGACCCATGGGTCTGCTACCTCTGTCAGCCTCACCAGCCACATGGTGCTCTGGTTCCCAGGGATGACTGGAGATTTCGTGTTCAAGAGTTATTCGCCAACACAAGCGCCATGGAGTTTGTGAGTATTCATCCAATCTTTAAACTGTTACAGCGCCCTCCTTATTTATTGAGAAATTCTTGTGGCATAGTAAGATACAGGCGCTGTCACTCGTCCGTATGCTGGGTTTTGCAGCTCTAAATAAGAACTGCATATGACTGCATTGGATCATAATCATGATCAAATGACTGCACAGATGTTGCTTTGAGTTTGACTTTCTTGCTTAAAATTTTTTTCTATTAATAAACTCTTTTTTTTCCAACTCATCAAAGTAAATCAAGCCAAACTGCTTTCTAGTTTGTAGCTACAGAACAGAGCAGATGAACAATTGGAGCATAGAGTGTTGAAGGGTCAAGGCATTTGAACCCAAGTTTGACGATGTGTCAAAAAGTTCTGTCGGTGCATTATTAAGCTAAAATAAACATTAGTTAGTTACTGTGTCGCCAGATATGGTCTAGGCATGCCGACGAGCCGATGCATCAACACATCCGCAAGAGTATCGATTCATGTTTATTTTTTTCCCTCCTGTCTCTTTTTATCCTTTTGCTCCTCAAACAACTTTGCTACTACTGTTCATTGCTGTTGTTTCTCAAATAAAAAGCATAACTATATTACAGCTTTTATAGATTTATATCAAATTTGAAACATTGTCTAACCTTTAAGTTAAAAAAATAAATGAAAAAAATTAACCAATTAATCGAATAGAAGTGTATTCTTGAGTATCGAAAATAATGGAATCCTTGAGTCAGGAAATTGATACTGAATTGAATCGCCATGATGGGTGTGATTTACACCCCTAATATGGTCCCTGTTGCTGTCATAAAATATGTGTGGTGATCTCGAGGCTTTGCAGCATCACCAGTGAGGCGCTATGATTACTGTCTGTCGTAAAGCCTTTCTGTGCTCCATGCCGGCTTGGCTGGTAGCTGCTGTTCCCCGCAGCGCCAGTCGTGTCCCTGGTTCAGTCTCCCTTCCTCATACTGCCTCTAGTTCCTTTAATATATTTTGATATTTTAGAATCCATGATGTCAGGCACTTTAACAGGTTTCCCAGGCCTCTGGGGGACAGGGGAATGGGAGAGGGGAAATTAATGTTTTATTAACTCAGTGTTCTGTTGACTTAGGAGCCTCATCGTGTCTACCCATCCATTCCCACTAAACTCCGCAGACCTCTCCGAGTTTTGTCTCTGTTCGATGGCATCGGGACGGGTAAGAGTCCAGCTCCAAAGGCTTCTGCACGCTTGTTCTGTTTATCTCAACTAGTTACTGTCTGTTAGGACTGCTGGTGTTTTTCTTTCACTCCTTCACTGCATCCAAACTCTCCACAATCAAACATGCTTTCTGTGTTTTTCTTCTCTGTGCTCGACCGTCAAAGCACTCTTGGAAGAGAAATCAAAACTAAAACACATCCACTGAGTTTCAGTTTCCAAGTGTTGACTTGGGAATTAAGCTATGAATTTTATTTAGAGCTCTCTACTTATTTGTATTTTTCTGATTCATTGGAGCAAATGTAAAGTTAGTTGCAGAGGAAATTATGCTGTTGGGTTGTTGTTGTTCAGGAGCTGTGCTTGGCTCTTTGGTCGCATTGAAAGGAGCTCTAAATGCTTCAGAATATAAACTTGTCCGTACTTTGTTTGGGTAGATTGGTGACTTCAACCCAATAGAACAGCTTTAGGATGAGTTAAAGCAGAGGCTTGTTCATCCAGCATCAGTGTAAGAGCTCTAAAGTGTGCTTCTGAAAAAAGTGTGTATATATATATATAAAAAAAAATCCCATAAACACCGTTCTAAACAGGAAGACAGCCTACTTTGGAAAGTTGAAGCTGTTGTAGCTACAAGTTTGCTAAGTGTGTTCTTATCATAGTGAATCCCATGGATTAGAAATGGAATGTTACTTACCATATTTTCTGGAATATCAGCCACTACTTTTCCCCCCACACTTTAAAACCATTTAGCTTATAAGAAGGTGCAGCTTTTCTGTGGATTTTTCCTAACCGCCAGAGGGAGAAGTCAAAGTTGGAAATGAAAGAATAAGAGGCTAATTTCATTTAGAACAAGAACATGCTAACAGCAGGAACGAATGTCCCGAATTCCCACATTTGGAAATATATTTGCCCCGAATAAAGCTGCGTCTGGCTTTTTGTATTGACTTCTGTATGCTTAACATCTTATTTACAGTAGCAGCCATTCAAAATGCCCCTTCCCAGTCAAACACCAGCCAAATGGAAGCTGACTCCCCTGCAACTCCCAGGAAAATCCTCCCCATTAACCCAGCATATTTTTTTTTTATCGTTACTCCACTCTTTCACTGAATTACAGGGTCTGACCAGGAGATGACGCTTCACGTTAGACCTTAATCTCCACAAATCATGACAGAAAGAATATTGTAGTGTAAAGTTTGATGTTTAAAAAGGGGACCAGCCAAAGGCTCATCAAGGAAAGTGGGGAAATTTTGAGTGGCTTCTACTGTAAACTGCATCCAGCTCTGCTGCAAACTACTCCAACTCTTCCTAATATTGTAGTGAGATGTCAGTAGGTCTGCGAGAAATCAGGAAAAAAAGTGACAACTTTTCACCTTCACAGGCTACCTGGTGCTGAAAGATCTTGGCTTTAAGGTGGAAAAATACATCGCCTCCGAGATTTGTGAGGATTCCATTGCTGTGGCAAGCATCAACCATGATGGGAAGATCATTCATGTTGGGGATGTTCGATTAATCTCAGATGATGTGGTTTGTTAAAACTCCCTCTGCTTTCTTCCTGTTTCCTGAATATGACCAGCCTTATTTTAAAATGGGGATCAAGAAGTGTCTCATTTCACCTGCTTTGTGTATTCAGATCCAGAAGTGGGGTCCGTTTGACTTGCTGATAGGGGGGAGCCCGTGTAACGACCTCTCCATTGTAAATCCACTCAGGAAAGGCCTTTATGGTACGTAGCTGTGTTTTTTTGTTTTTTTTTTAAGCCTGTAAGTAGGGGTGTAAATCACACCCATCATGGCGATTCGATTCAGTATCTTTATATACCTTACAGGCTAAACAAAGTTTCAAGTTTGAACTAAATCAATGAAAGCTGTAATATTGTTATGCATTTTATTTTTTTTAGAAACAACAGCAAATAACAGAAGTAGAAAAGTTGCATCAAAAAATACTGCACATAATCGGTGTGATGAGTGCGATGCAATACCTCGGCTCCAGACGTCCCGCCCCCTCCACAGACGCTCCGATGCACCTCTCCCAAATTGTAGCTGAGCGCAAACAGTGCCACAGACAGGAGGCCGAAATTGCGGAAAACAACTCGTGAGGTTTGACCAGCTAGAAGAGTGAGGTGCACTGGGACCCTTTTTCCACCTGGATCTCCGCCCTTTTTGGCCCTCATGTCCCTATGTCGTCGGACTAAAATTGCCCCCACTTCCTCGCCGCCTCGGCCGTATCTAGACCCACAGTGTGTAGCACAGACCACGCTTCAATATTGAGCATAAATCAAAAATGTCTGTGTCAAGCTCACTGCAACACACTGCTTTAGGAGTATAACCAGGAAGCGAGGTAGGAGGGCAAAATAGGTTTAGTGGCCCCGCAGCACGGGAGGGAGAATTACGCCCAGGAGCAAATGGATAAAAATAGACCGGGGGAAAAAAAAACATGAATCGATTCTCTTGCGGACGTATCGATGCATCGTATCGTCGACTGTTGGATCGATGCATCGGTACAAAACGATTATTATTTACACCCCTACCTGTAAGTAAAATATCCTGTTAAAGTAATATGGCATCACTTTCTTTGTGAATTTACAAGATTCAGTGCTAACAGTTTTTTGCTGTATTTTTGCATTTTGTATCATGTATTTTAATTCAGTTTATTTCTATAGTTCTAATTCAAAGCAAACCTCAACTAGAGGCATTTTAAAGTCTGTTCAATCAAGTCACTCAGACACATTAATTCCAAAGGTTTTTATCTCACGTAAAATAACAGAAAAAGATTCCTTTCTTTAGTTCAATTCGACTTATTATAAAAAAAAGATTATAAAAAGGTCCATTTATGAACAAGCAATAAGGCACCACAAATGTTTCTCTCATCCGAATGATTTAGTTTTTTTGTCTTTCTGTATGACAGAAGGCACCGGCAGACTCTTTTTTGATTATTACCGCATCCTGCAGCTGCTAAAGCCCAAAGAGGACGACCCTCGGCCTTTCTTCTGGCTCTTTGAGAACGTCGTCTTCATGAACACACACGACAAAGTCAACATTTGCCGTTTCCTAGAGGTGAGCATCCACTTCACTTCTGAGATGAGTTTTTTACTCCAGTTGTTGAACCAGGTGGAACATTTAAGGCGCTGATTGCTGTTGTCTTGTGATTCTGTTTAACAGTGTAACCCTGTGCTGGTGGACGCAGTGAAAGTGAGCCCCGCAAACAGAGCTCGATACTTCTGGGGAAACATTCCTGGAATGAGCCGGTGAGACCTATTACTGTGTTATAACAATTTTCCTGTTAGGTTTTGCTTTGATGTTTTTTACTAGTTTGCATTTCCTTCTTTTACTAGATGTTATTATTTATTTATTTTTAGTCAGATCTTCCTCTTAAAAATCCTCCAGAAATCTTTTGATATTTTGTGGCTTGATTGGAGAAATAATGGGGTGGGAATATTTAAAAATCCCAAGAAATAGCCGTGATCCCACAAGGCACTTTTATCACTCTCCATTTTTGATAAATGTCTCATAAAAAATGCACAAACTAATCTAACTTACATTATATTTTATATAACTGTTATGTGTTAGAAGGACCTGAGTCTGCAGTGACATCGGGTGACGATCCATGTGGACATGCATCCACAAACGTCTGCTTGGGGGCTGACACAATTAATCTGATTAATCATGATTAAGTAATCATTAAAATAATTTCAACTAATTTGGTAATCGATTATTAACTGGAGTATAGTGACTGTAAAACATGCCTTTAGTTGACAGAGCAACCCACTTAGAGCAGTAATTCTATCATATATATATACATACAAAAATTAGTATTAGGAACTATATTTATCAAACATTATACTGGGCAAGTAAAAATTGTTTCTGGGCAAATGAAATGTAAAAGCCACTTGCCCGAAGGGCAAAAAATCCTTAACGCCAACCCCTGGTTGTACTGTTTGTCCCGTATTGATATAAACTGATGCATCCACACATTTGCCTTCAGCAGCCATGACTTGGGATCATGTAGAGAGAATGCATTGCCTCTCCCCTACCTTTGCTTTAAATTGCTGATGTTTTGTTTGATTTAATACGTCTTTGTTTTTTGATTGAATTGAGATCTGTGTAGCATTTGTCTTTTTTTTTTCTTTTATCATGTAGCTGGAGGAAGAGCAACCAATGCTAGCTCAAAATATTGGCCTGAGAATATCGGTACCACATAATGGATATTGCAATCGGCCTTGATAAACCTGTATCCGTCAATCTCTGCTGCAATCTCTATAATTACACAAATTGAACAAAAGTTTCCTTATTGTCTGATGGGTCACTGATACGTCTGCGTTTTTCTATTGGTGGGTAAACATCCTCAGACTCGCTGTCAGAATCTGAGCTTCTTCCTACCCACCTCATCGGTCTCTCCCTGTCCGCCCCGAATCTCTATCATCAATATTTTGAAGCTTTTCTAAAGCCGAAAGGCATTTTTTTCTGCATTCAATCTTAGTGGGAAGAATTTACAATGGAACTTATAGAGCTGTCAAAATGACGGATGTGGGAGATCGAGGTTAAATGAACAATATTTATTTTTACTTGTTTATTTTATTAGAACAACTATGTGAAAATTAAACAAATATTGAGACAGGAAAAGTCAGTTAAAATGACCAACATATGATTAATGTAAATAAAGTTTTTTCTCTTTAAAATCTCAGAACCGTCAAAATGACGGCTTTGGCAGTTCTAGTGTTAAAGCATTTAAGACACAAAAAATCTGTCAGTCAGGAAAATGCTACTTAGGAAAGAGAAAAGTCAACATGTGTGTCCCACTCCCAGTTCAAAAATCTCTTACGGGTAGTTTTAGCTGATGAGGCTTAAATTCTTCTGTTCCTTTGCCTGTCTGATAAAAAGTTTTGCACTGTGGGACTTATTGAACAAAAGGAGGCCTTTGTTTTCTTCCTGTTTTGTTTGTCGAATTAAAAATGGGTGATTTAAAAAAAAACAAAATTCATATGTTCTGTGTCCTGCCTCATCAGGCCCATCACAGCCTCCCAGAAGGACAAGTTGAACCTCCAGGAGTGTTTAGAGCTCGGCAGGGAAGCCAGGGTGAGTAAATAAATCTGCTGCTCATATTTAATAGAGTGATCTCATGAGAAGCTGTGTGCCTGTTTAATACAGTGCAAAACTCACTACTGTTGGAAATGTTATTTCCAGGTAACCAAAGTGAGAACAATCACAACAAAGTCAAACTCCCTGAAGCAGGGGAAAAATGTTTCTTTGCTGCCTGTCATGGATAAAGGAAAAGAAGACATCCTCTGGATCACTGAGGTGGAAAAGTATGTGTCTTAATGCCTTTTCTTCCGGAGTCTCCAGAATTAGTTTTCCTTTCCCCTCGTATCAAATGATCAATAAATTCCTATGAAACGATGGATTAAACAGTGGTGAGCAGAGGCAGATGTTTTTTGTTTGTTTTTTTCTCCCCAGAATTTTTGGTTTCCCCAAACATTACACCGATGCAAGGAACATGAACCGACAGCAGAGACAGAAGCTGCTGGGCAAGGCGTGGAGCGTACCAGTTATCCGCCACCTCTTCGCCCCCCTGAAGGAGTACTTCGCCTGTGAGGAACTGCCTCCTGTAGCCACGCCGGATGTCTCCACCTCCAGCTCCTCCGCCACCTCCTCGTCTCCTAACTCCCCAGACCTGCAGCAGCTGAGATAAGGGAACTTGGATGGGATTGAGGGATTTCATAGGCACACAGCCTCCCATACGGAGGTCCTAGGGGGCTTCCTACCTCACTGGTGTGGAGGCAAGAGCCCAGTCCGCGTAAATATATATATGGGAGCAGGCAGTGGACAATAGACCTTACATACATGATCCTTCTTGCCCAAAGAGTGATTTCCGTGAAATTCCATTTTATTTTCCACATCACAAAAATCATATGGCCCTAAGCATCACAACTGGTGCTACCTTTAACAACACTATCTGCTTATTTTGTGCAATGGATTGTTATATTATGCTGCCTCTGATATGCAGCCATTTTACTCAGGAACCCCATTGGGAATTTTTATTAGTTTCTTAAAAAATGATCTATCATCCTGTGGTGTTACGTTATTCTGTGTGAACCTACTGAGATATTTTTTTATATTTTTTCAAAGATATGAATCTAAACTAGTTCAGTATTTTAATAGACTGTTGCTGCTGCTGCAGTTGTAGAAAACATTGAGTTTTATGATTGCTTTTTTTTAGAATGTTTTGCCCATTTTAAAGGGGAGAACTTCAGAGTTTGGTTCATATTTTCGTTTAATCATGAAAAAAAAAATCTATTGAATCTATAAATTCTGCAATCATGATAGTAAGGGACAACTATTGCCTGATTTTTAACCTGCTGCTGAGTCATCTAAACCTGCAGTGCCTTAAGCAATCTTTTAATCCTTAGTGGTCACCTTTGACAACCAGTTTCCTGTGTTTCGGTATTCGTGCCCACACCAGTTCATACATCAGTACCAATTCCTAAGTGTTTGAAGGGTTTTTTGTAACCACTGCCCAAAATATCCCAAAAATGTATCTACCTCCTTATTTCCTTCTGTTAGTTGTGCTACAAACAAAAACACTGGCAGGAATTTAAGCCTTAAGTGGATTTAATTCCCATTGGACCAAATATGTGGGCCAAACATGCAGTCTAATAGTTAGTATTCCTTAATACTGAATAATCAAGAGTAACTAATACTTTTTAATGTTACTTTTTTTAAGAGTACATCCAGTAATTATAAAAAAAACACAGCATTTTTAGTTCCTTTTTGTATTAAATATGTTTTTTTAAAAGATGTCCTTATTGTAACAGTAAGAACTGGTCTGCTTTTAATAAAAGTGATATGATGGTACAAAGTTTACATTTCATACTTTTTTTTTCTCTTTTTCCTTTTACGTTTACTTTGAAAATTCTTAATGTGACTGTGATTGTCGTCTTGCTGGATCTTTGAATGTTTTGTGAATCATGAGCGGAGTTCTTTTTACACTTTTGCACGTTACCTTAAAGGGATTAATGCATGTGGGTCTGCAATTGTTTCTGAAGGTTCAAATTTTTCTGTATTATAGGAGTTGTGTTCTGCTCTTTTTATCTACTGACCTTATTTTAATCACGTATGTCAAAAGTGATAGAATAAATATTAAAACAATGTATATCAAATTCAATGTTTTCCATTTCTCATTTATATTTCAGTAAACAAACATTTGAAGGTGTTTCACAAGGAAAATTACTAGTTTTGTTTGCATCATTAGACTTGACAACTTTTACTGTCATTTTGTATACTGTGTATATAAAATGACAGTAAAAGTTGTCAGAAGTCTAATGAGTATAGAGAATACAAAACCAAATTTTGTTTAGTACAGCTTTCCACACAGAAAATGAACATGTCCTAGCCCTGAAGTTCAGCAGTGATCAAATGTGAAGTGTGGGAGAACCAATATGGTGCAAGATGGAAATTCAGAACATTAATAAATATATATATATGTGGAGTATTTTTGGTTTGCTGTGATGCAGAGGTTGTGACATGATTTAGGTTTTTTTTTTTTTTTTTTGTTCAGCGGTCTGGTGGCAGTGGGGAAGAAACTGTTGCAGAATCTGCTGGACCTGCATCAGATGCTGTGAAACCATTTCCCAGAGGGCAGCAGGGAGAACAGTCCATGGTGGGGGTGTGAAGGGTCATTGAGGATGTAACTGGCTTGGGACACAGAGCTGGGATGAAAGGTCTTTTATGGAGGGGAGAGGAGCCCTGATCTTCTCTGCTGTTCTCACCATTCTCACTTTCTAGCAATCTGAGATACAGCAGCGCCTCATGCCTCACATTCATCAGTGAGTAAGACTATAAAATACTTCAGCTAATATCAATTTACATAGAATACAAAGAATGTGCCCTTAGATCACAGGTGTCAAACTGGTTCCAGAAAGGGCCGTGTGGCTGCAGGTTTTCCTTCCAACCAAGCAATGGCACACCAGACTCCATTCATCTCAACAAGTGAGTCCAATCTGAACATGATGACTTGATGAGATGACTGGAGTCTGGTGTGTTATTGCTTGGTTGGAAAGAAAACCTGCAGCCACACAGCCCTTTCTGGAACCAAATTAAGCCCCCCCGCCTTAGATCATAGGCCACCAGTGTAGATTGCTTGACATGGCAGCAGGTTAGTGTCATTGCATTGGATTCAGTAGTGAGGATTTTAGAAGATGCAAAGAGGTTCATTTGACACAATCCCCCTTTAAAAATTAGGGTCAGATTTCCTCTTTACCATTTTTGACCCTGGATTTTTATTCTACTTTTAAATGTTTTATTAAAAATCAAAAATTGTCCCGTTTTCTGTTTTTAGATAAACTTCTGTCATTAACTGTTTAATTTTACGATACCTAAAATACATTCATTTCAAATAAGTGGAAAAAAGTTATATTTTTTATTAAAGTGCAAGAATACATCATATAAAAAATACAATCATGAAAGTTGGAGACGTAAAAAAAAAAAAAGAAGAAAAAACAGAAGGACGTGTTACGTCTTGACGTCATCTATTGCGATCTTCCGCCGTGCTCTTCCGCTGCCGGTAGATTGAACGTACAACTGCTTAAAAAAAGCAGAACTACCAACGACGATCAACAAGCAAGTATTTAGCTTTTGTTGTGGCTCTGAACCACAACAGATAGAACTGAAGACCCTCTGAGTCAACAGAAGAATATATTGTGATCATTTATTGGTGAGTTTAAGTGTTAACTTTGTAAAACGGTGATAATGAAGAGGCCGCTAGATTAACAGAGATGAAGAGCTAAAATGCTAACTGGCGGCTTACTGCACGCCGAGGGTGATCCTGGTTAATGCTGAGCTAATTGGTTCAACTAAATCAAGTTTCATTTTCTATATTCACGTTTCAACAAATCATTAACGGTTTCCGTATCTAGGCCCAGGTTCATCAACGGGTCCAGGTTAACAGAAGCTAACAAGGCGGTGCTCCGTCTGGGAGGCTCTAGTTCAGGGCGGGGAAACTGCTTTCATGCTAGGAGAGCTGGGCTAGAAATCCTAAACCGGTCCCGGAAACGTGTCTTGGATACACCTAGAGGTTTTATAGCCGTCTGAAAAACGAGATTTGACAAGAAAACATCTTCAGATAATTCCGGTTTAAAATCCATGTAGCTTGTTTAAGTAGCTAACTGCTGCTAACGTTAGCTTTCAAGTTTCTAACGCGTTTGGCTAATGGTTTCCCCGATCTTAAGTATCCCATCAGGAACACCAGTTTTAACCTAAATCAACCCGTTTTCAATTTACTTATACCATTTAATGGAGCTGGCAGTGAAAACATAGTAATTAGCTAGCAGTCTGTTTGTAAAGCATAGGGCCTGTGCAGTTCTGGCTTATCATGCGCCCTGGTGAGTCAGATACAAGTGGAAAACGGTTGATATGAATTATTTAAAAGAAAAAGATAAAAAAAAAAAAAAAACAATGGTACAGATAATCAGAAATGTTTATTTATATGGGTAGAAATTCAACAGCAGGACAATGTTGGATTAACAATGATTTTTTTTTTGTATCACTAAACTGCAAATGATCCGCCCCAATTTTGTTTTTTTGCAAGTAGTTAATCTCTTGTAAATATCATACTTATGCTTACCTTTGTAGAAGAATTTGTAGTATTTTTACGCCTAAAAGGTTTGATATTTGTTAAATTGTTTAAAATGTATATTAGGTAAATACTGTCAAATCACAATACATGTCATTTTATTTTTATTTCTTTTATCAACTGATTGTATTGAGTCATTTACTTTGTAGGATCCACTCCTCCTGGATGAGCATGTGTTCCCTTGCATTGTGTCACTGGCTCCGCTGCAATTCCTTTACACCAGTTCTTAAACAGGAAAAATCCTCCAACAGAAACAGGCTCATTGTGAGCGGGCTTCTACTGAGGCCGAATGGAGGTTCTAGAGGACAGAATTGGACACACAAAAGGAACATAGCTGCACTGATCCATAGATACTTTCTATGTTAGAATAGCAAACAATTAATAAACAAGCTTCATGTGTGACTCTGTCTAGGAAAGAAACGGTTGAGCAGACCTATGTTCTGAGCTGGTTTCATCTTAAAAAAAGCCGAGAGAGGGCATAAATTTAGAGTAAAGGCTGAGCCCATAGCTAGGTCTTCAAGGAAATGGGACAAACATTGAAAGACGGGCCTAACTCCATCCTCTATAATTGAAGTTGTTTATGTCCTCCAGGATGATGTCACTGTTAAACAGAGCACAAACCCAGATGTAGCTCTGTAATGAAACAGACTGGATCCTTCCCTTCAAAAATAAAACGGGAAAGTATCTGTCCAGTTTTACTATAACCACTGGGTCCTTCCACTTAAAAAAAAAAAAAAAAAAAAAAAGGATATTTAATAGGTTTATCATTTTGTACAAATAAAGGGAAATGGGCACTTGGTATTGTTACCCATTTTATTTAATGAATTAATATCTTCAAACTAGGAATGCATTGATATTAAAATAATTTTTGTTATGGATGAAAAACAATATTTACCTATGCCATATATTTCACTAATATTTGGAAACCATGATAAATTTTCCATAGTGCTACCATTGCTTCTCGGCTTCAGTTAATAATAGAAATATGTATGTGCTGCAGAGTGACTGGCTAATAGAAACATGTAGATGCACATTAGGATGTATTGAAAATAATAGTTAAATTAAAGCTTTGTGAAACTAACCAGCTGCAGCAAACACGTTTGAAGGGATAACACAGTTAGTGATTAATCACTAACCTTCTGATATGATAAATAATTGAAGCTGTGCCCACTTTGATACCATCACACTAACAGTTGTCCACATCTGGTTTAAAAATTTGCCAGCATAATCGGATCTGTTAATCGCTCTTGATGCAAATTTGCACATAGTGATGTCAATGTTCTATCAGCAGGTTAACTGATGCTTTAGTGAAACCGGTTACTAAACTGGAGTCACTATTTTCTCGTCAACTAGATTTAGTAAAAAAATAAAAAATAAAAAGTCAGTGTGGCTCTAGAATTTAAAATACAGAGAAACAAAAAAAATGCACCATCCTCTGAATACAGTGTGACGGTTTGATTATGTGAAACACTGTTTAGAATTAAGATTATATGAGACAATATATTTCTAAATGACGGATATTGGCTTGCTGCAATGCAAGAGCATGCTCTACCTGACGGGTGGTGTCTAATTGCAAGAAATTGTTACATCTGATCATCCTCAGGCTATAGAGGGAATAGGGCTAAATATTAGTCCTTCCCATTCTGTTGTCTGGAGTTGGTCACTTAAACTCTATCGCTGCAATTATTTATGGTATTGTATTGTGTATTTAATAAAAAAAAATGTTATACCCCTGTCCTATTGTTGTTTTGTGCACTTGCACCTTCTTGTGCCATCGCTCCCAGTCTGTCCTACTGCACGGAAAAGGAAATGTGTCCATGATATCCATCAGCAGGAGATGATCCTGCACGGTTAATCGTTCATGTTGCTTTGATAGTCAAATAACCTCCTATTAGAGAAGGACTTGAAAGGGTTTTGGTTTGTTGAGCTGTGTGTTTTGAATCTGTTATGAATGTTGCTTTATCCTTGTGGCTGCTGAATTTGTGCCACGCCTTTAGATCAGCACTGTCATCGCATTTATTTCTCTAAGCTGAGCTCCTTGCAAATTCAGTAAGCCACTGTCTTCTCTGTCTGTAGGTGAGCCACAATGGCTGTGAATGTGTACGCAACGTCAGTGACCAGCGACAACTTAAGTCGACATGATATGCTGGTGTGGATCAACGAGTCTCTCCAGATGAACCTCACAAAGATAGAAATGCTGTGCACAGGTAAGAAATGGTGATTCACTGTAATAGGTGTTTAAAATCAACATTAGTAAGATGGTGGGTGGACTTTAATCGCAACCTGTTTGTTCTCTGTCTTAGAGGAACTCTTTAATGAGTTGTAACAACATCAGTCTGGTTAACTTGTCAATATGTCTCTTATTTTAGAGTGAAAGATCAAAGCTAACCCACTTTAAAGCTGGAGGGAAGCTTTTTCAGGCCTTGCTAAGACCAAGTTAAAGAAGACGTTTCTGAACGCTTGTTCCAGATTGTGGGCGGAATAACATTTAGCCTTGTTTTGACATCTTTTACAAGTTATTTTCTTTTGTAAAAGAAAAGCTGACATGAGGTGACAGCCAAATGACATTAAGTGAACTGAATCTCAAATGCATTTTCCAGTAAGGGAATGCCACATTTGGGTGATGAAGACCATGCAGAGAAGAGGCCTCTTCCAGACCTTCAGCATCTTATAGAATTGAAGATGGAATTATAAAAAATAATCTATTTAAATAAACTAACACTTTATATTTTGCACATAGATTTCGCTTTAAATATGTGCAGGTTAATAAGCCAGTTTTGTATATCATCGTTTTTAATGCATTTTTCTTTTCTAGTTACCACTCCATTATTCCCACAGTCCCCTTTAGTCTTTATATCCGTTCATCTCTCACAAGGATGTGAAAATAGGTTAATCTTTCAGCATCTCGTTACAGGGGAATTCTTTTTCATGACCATTTGAACCCATCAGTCTTATTTTAGTTTGGAGGTTTATTATTGTTGCTGATATGAAACAATTGGAATGCTTCACTAAGTTTTCCTTTTATTTCTAGGAACCTGTTAACCTTCAGATAAACAACACTTCCTTTCCAACTCAGTTCCACTGTCACTAAATAATATATTTTTTGTTTATTAATTCCATTTCATTGCCTGGTGAATCAGGTTCTTAAAAAAAGAGGACTAGATTCAGAAGGTATATGTTTGCAGTGTTAATGTATATTTTAACCAGGTTTTTCTTAATCAATGTAAAGTTCTGCGATGTTCATGTTGCTTTACTTCATGGATGTAACAATGGATGTGCAAAACCTTTCCTCTGGTCCTTGCTTGAACAAAGATTGGAGAGAATCTTTTCAGAGCTGAAGCCCGTCATCTGTCCGGTGACTCATTGTTAGACCTCAGGGGCAGAGAATGCATGTAATCACATGCTACAGCGTGAGTATAAGGCAAGATAAGGCAAGTTTTATTTGTACAACACCGTTCAGACACAAGGAGCATAGAGGTTAAATGCTGCCTCCTTTGTTCACTTCTGGTTGAACATCAAACAGGTGTTGGATGACCTGAGGCCTCTAAAAGCATTGCACCAGAGGTCCGTTTCATAAAGCAGGTTTAACTAACTCTGACTCCTCAACTCTGAATTGATCTAGCCTAAGGTGGGAAACTCTGAGTTTATGGTTTCACAAAGGCTGCTTTGAGTTAGTTTAGTAAACTCTGAGTACATCCAGTCAGAGGCTTAATCCCAAACTGCCTCCTAAATGCTTTCCCAGAGCACTAACCCTCCATTTGCGCATTCCTGCAGAGTGTCCACCATTGAGGGCCTTCTCAAACCACGTAGTGGGTGGGATGAGTGAACCCTTCAGCCCTCAAATAGCGAGGGACTCTGTGCAATACTCACTGAAATTTGCCTGCGGGTGTAACTGTGACCTAATGGTGGAGGAAGCACTGGCAGGCAGATGTATGTTTTGCTGGTTTTCTGCATCTTTTTCACACTGAGGAAAAGGGAAAAATAGACACGTTTGATCTTAAAAGAGAAGGTACTATTTGAAGCCATTTTATGATGGGACAAATGTTTGATTTCACATGGACTTGCACAGCTACAGCTATGCACATTGGGCAACACTGGGTTGCCATAGCAACAAATGCTTTCCTTTCCCAGTGGAGGGAAGAGGCTGTTCCATTCTATTTTTTTATGTTCTCCCAACTTCAATAAAGGCGAATTCCACAGCTGTGAGTGTGACTTCATTGGGAGTGACGCTTGATCGATAAGGGTTTCTGCTTAGGGGTCAGGTTGGGATTCAGCCAGAGTTGAGCACATGCATAACAAGTCTGAAAAGCCATTATCAGTGGAACACCGATTTAACTGTCAACAGGAATTCCCTACTTCACAACACTGGAATTAGATTTCAATGTAGAAACGAAAATCAAATTTGAGATACTGTTAAAAAGACAGCTACAGCTACAAAAGAGGGAGATGACGTTGCATAAGATTGCTGCTCGAGTTAATTCTTAGGTTTCTTTGATGTGGGTTATGGCAGGCCATTTTAACATTTATTAAAAGCACAATCCGTGTTCCATTTGTAGATCACTAAAATGGGATTCTTCCTCATCAAAATCACATTCCTAGACGGAACTGTAATAACAGTTTTTTCTAAATAAATTTTTTTTGCAGCAGAAGCTGAATTTAGGAAAGTACAAAAACAAGATTGTACTAGTAAGATTAAAAGGGGTCATAGAATAATTGTATAGGGTTTTTGGTGCTGGTCCTTAAGGTTTCTGAATAGGGTGTAGCTTGGGCTCAAAATGGCCTATTTGCTGTTCTATGAGCCCTAATGCAAGCCTAGTTTAAAGCCCCAGAATGAAACGACAGGTTTTCTTCCTTTTATGGTATGCTCATGAATATTTAGATGAGCTGGGTGCTGATTGGTTGGTTTAGAACGAGGGAAGCTGCTGAGCAAAGACGCAACAAGCACTCACTCACTGAAACATCAAATTGTTTATATGGTAGGGTGAGCAAACGCCCTCTTTTTCCTAGACATGTCCTACTTTTCATACCTAACAAAGTGTTTGGGAGAAATTTCGAAATTGTCCGGGATTTTGGTCAACTACAGTGCAGAACGTAGTCGAAGCGCACTGGGCATTCGAACTGAGCCGTCAGCTCTAGAGCTAGTGTGGGAACCCCGGCGGACAGGGGCAGGGAGCCAGCAGGGTGAAGTCTTCGGATCCTTGGGAAGACTGTGAAAAAATGTCCCCCTTCTATGTGCAGCCTGGAAGACTGCATTTACTTGTAATTCTTGTAGAAGTAAACCCAACTGTAAAAACTGCTAAACAGCTAAAATGGTGTCTTACATCTCCCTCTATTTATGTTCTTGAATAGAGGTGTCGATGGGGTTTGAACTTCTCTTTCCAGTTCTTCCTGATGGTATTTCATTATATTCAATTTAAATTGATATTATTTTTGTACTGTTTTTTTCCTGATTGGTGATCTTTTATCTGAAGCACAATGTTGGCCCAACAGATATTCAGGTCCTTTTTTAGGTGTACATTAAGTTTTTTTTTCTACTTTTGAAATGAACTTTGATTATTCTTGGTTGATGGATAAACAGTGTTTTATAAAGGGACACTGTGCAGTAGAATATTGACAGAGGCAGTGTTCACACAGCAGCTTCAAGTGACCTGAACTCAATTTTATTTATTTTTTTTTGCCCACATGCAGCCTGTATCTGATCTTTTCATGACAGTCTGAACAACACGGATCCCATTTTTATTGTTTGTTCCCGATAATGAACCTTCTTGAGAATATTGTTTTGTTAAATTAGTGGCTGAGGTTTGGAAGGAAATGTTTGCAAAATGTGCTCCAGCTCTACCATCCATGTTTACTTCAGTAAAGACGGAACTTGTTTGTCATGTCTTGCGTCCTCTACTGCGCACTGGAGATCGCATACATTCGGATGTATTTTGGAATGCAAACAACCATGCAAAAGAATCAGATTTTACAAAAAAAAAAAAATTAGGATAAATCATTGTTTGGGACTTTGGTTTTCATGCAGGTTAAGGAGGGATGTGTTCATGCAGATTTTTTACAGTCTTCCAAAACTTCTTGACCAGACAACAATACAAACTGTAATGTTTTGTTTTTGAAAAGGTGCCGTCTACTGCCAGTTTATGGACATGCTGTTTCCCGGCTCAATCCCTCTGAAGAAAGTCAAATTTGGTGCCAAGTTGGAGCATGAATACATCCACAACTTCAAGCTTCTGCAAGTTGGTTTCAAAAAGATGGGGGTTGACAAAGTAAGTACCAGTGCCTAAAGGATTCAATCTCTTCAGAACTGCTTAGCTGTGACTGCTAACTAGAGTTAATCTGTTAACCAGTGATAGAAACCATCAGTAGGTCTGAAGGGGTGTTTATTTCATTGCAGATTATTCCAGTTGACAAACTGGTCAAGGGGAAGTTCCAGGACAACTTTGAGTTCGTTCAGTGGTTTAAGAAGTTCTTTGATGCCAACTACGATGGGAGGGAGTATGACCCGGTGGCCATGAGGCAAGGCCAGGATGCCTTGACTAGTCCTCCCACATCAGCCCTCAACAAACTCCCTAAGAAGACCCTCAATCAAGGTCTGTGCTCTGGCCATTTTGATTAGTTAGCTCAGATTTTTGGTTGATTGGTTAATTTATGCATACATTGAAAAAAAGAACAGAATATGTTCAAAATATCCCTGATTTTTCTCACCAGCTACCCAGAAGCCCCCAGTTGCAAAAGTTGCACCGAAGTTGGCTCCAGCTGCGACAAAGAAACCAGGGATGGGAGGTGGCGATGAAGAGAGGGCGGAGCTCATTAATGAGGTCAGAACTGTGTGGATTTTTCTTTTGATTTTTAGTTTGTTTACTTATTGATATACATTTATTTATGTTGTATCAGCCAGGTGGTATTTTTAAGGCTTCATAAATCTAATATGGTGCTTTAAGGTCAAAATGACAGTTTTACTTTTTTTTTTTTTTTTATATAAAGTCTTAATACCTTTTCTTGTTTTGTTTTTCTTACCAACAGATAGAGATTCTGAAATCCACAATTCAGGATATGGAGAAGGAAAGAGACTTTTATTTTGGTAAGCTGAGGAACATTGAGCTGATTTGCCAGGAGAAAGAAGGAGAGGGCGACCCCACACTGCAGAGGATTGTCGACATTCTCTATGCCACAGACGTGAGTTTTTTCATTAAAATAAATCTTTTTCTGACCGCTTATTTTTCAATAATTGACAGTCGATTCATTAAGGCCTTTTTTCTTTAACTCAATGTATTCTGTTCCCACGACTTGATTCTCTGTCCTGCCTTGGAATTATTGAGGAAGGTTTCAAAACAGAGAGCGAGTAATGAAACAGTAGCTGTAGGAGGTTTCCCCTATAAAGAATATTGTTTTGTATTAGTTTCGTTTCCCATTTCTAAATATTTCGTTTTTGTATAACTTCATTTAAATTCTAGTTTTTCCTTAAAAAATATATATAATTAGGACTTATGCATTCTGGAATACTATGGAGTTTCCCTACACTGTTCTCACGATCTGAATTTAGACATAACATTTTTGAATCTTTGACTCGCTGAACTTGAACAAAAGAACCTTAAAAGATATCTGACAACTACAAATACAGCCTGAACTGGATTTGTGGTCCCTTAAACGGGGTTTTTAACAAGTAAAAGCAGTAAAATTCTCAAAACCAGATGTCATATAAGCTGTTGATTTGGTTTATCCCCCACCTGGAGAATTGGTAACCATCTTCAGGGTCGTGCTGTTTCAATATTCCATGGGACCCACAGATGAGAATACTCTTCTAGCTGCTCAAGGCGAATATTTTTATCTGGCATGTCCAGAATGACATAGAAACAGCTGGGAGACAAATTACATTTTTCAGAACGGCAATCAATTTAAGTTTTATTTGCTATGAGCAAATTCTAAAAAAGATAAAAAAAAAAAAAAACAATCCACTGACTATGTTTCCAAGTTTGAGTTAGCGTTGAGTTTGAACTGAACGCCATTTCTGACATTTTTAATTGAAAAGGCTTCCTTAATAGGAAGCGAAATGTCTTCAAACTTTGAAACAAAGTTCAGTGGATTTTTTTTATTTTATTTACTTTTTGCAAAGACTATGACCTCAAAGTGCTTTACCAGCACTTTGAGCAAATGTTAATATTTTTTATCAGGAGATAAGTTCACCAGTTAAAAGAGTTCCTGTAAAACACTTCCACTATCCTAAGTATTCAGTTTGTATCTATTAGCAATTAGCATAATTAGCCTGATTTGCAAAATAAGCTGTAAACAGTTTCCTCTGAATAAGAATTGAGATCCTCTCTTAGATTTCCATAAATCTGTTTTATGACTGAGACCAAAAGGTAAATTAATGTATATATTTAGACTCTAATCCTATGAAAGCTGCCCCTTGTTTAAAAGAAGCAAACAGCCAACTGGTCCTGGAAACAGTTTTGTTACAATGTCTCCTTGCATCCTTTTGAATTTACTCTGACTTCTCACTAGATGTGTTTTCATTGCAATTGTGATATTTCAATTAAATAAATAGAATTAAAGTTGCACTAGAATACATTAGTTCTTGCAATAACTCTTCAAAACAACACAGTAGCAGCGGATATATAAAATGTATGCGTATTTCAGCCTCAGCTCTAGTCCTCATTGATGCAAACTTAAGTGGTAAAAATACTCCAATGAGTCCAAAGATGGCATGCCATCATCCTTCAACTACTTTTGATCTTTTTTATTTTATTTATCAAAAAAGGTCGGCAACTTGTGGGTTCAGCTCTGCTTCTATTAAATGAAGCAACAAATCTCATCATAATCTGCAAATTTATGTATTATGTTGGCTGTATTAATATCAGTTAAAAGATTTTTCTAACTACTTGTTGAGAATATAAAAGAATTGTTCTGTGATAGAAACTAATGTCAAGATATTTGATAAATTTCACTGACCGATTATAGATGTGCTTGAATAGTTTATTTCCTCCACAGCAAGTAAGATGAGGAGCAAGTAGAGTTCCAGATGAGTGTTTGTGGATGTACTGGGCAAGGGGAAATGAATAAGGAGGAAAAACAGGAGATTTGTGGAGGAAATTTAGGTAGAGATGCAGGGAAGTGGTTTAAAAAGGAAGGTTGTTTAGAATCTGATTTCTAAATGGGTCAGCCAGAGAGGAAGAAATGTTCCTCCTAAATGAGAGCAGAGCTATCTTATCCATCACTTCGAAACGCAGATAAACTCTAAGACAAGGAGGCAGCCTTATGAAAACATTAAGTGCACCATATCAAGAGCTTTTAATATTTGTAACTTGATACCAGCTGCCTTAGCCTCCATATCTTCTAACAGATTCATCCTGTGTCGTCTCTCTGCAGGACGGTTTCGTAATACCAGATGCCGAAGAGCAGGAAGAGTTTTAAATCAAGACTGCAAGCAGATTCTCATCCGATGTCTTGGTATCAACCCACCTCAGAGTCCTTTTTTTCAGGCCAAGGCGGTTTGGTTTCACACCCCGACACCAAGCCCGCTCTCTATAATCGACAAAGCCTTCAAAAGCCAACCCTAGCACTGCCCTGTAATCCGGTCCTTCCCAAAACCAGATCTCTGAGTGGATTAGATCTGGTATCTGTTGTGGACTCCAGTGTAAAAAGCATAAGTGATGTCGTGGCTGTTCTTATGTGCGTGTGTGTGTTTGATAACCTGTTTGATGCAAATGAAGAACCTCGTCCTCCTAATGACAGAGCTGGTTTACCAGCCCTTTGTTCCAAACAAACCCTGAATGTTTTGTTTCTGTCACGGTGCTGCAGCCACTCTGTGCCTCTGCTGGTGACCATGAAGAGAAGCACAACACCCGATCAAATACTGAGGGACATACCGTCTTTTTTTCTATATGGTCTTGTTTTTATCATTCATAAATGTTCTGAATTGGTAATTAAATCAGATTAATTAAATAGGAGAGGTTTGTCAGACTAATCTGATTTGGTCCACATGCAGACCAGGGATGCAAATATAAATGGTTTTGATTTCCCTAAAACTTGCATTGCTAAAACAACCACCAGAGGGCAGAAGTGAACGAGTAGTCCAGCAGTATCTGAAGCATCTGACAGTCAGAACAAGACATTGAGGTTGGCAGATATGTAGGATTATCCTTTGACACATTGTTCAGCACCTGATAGAGCTTCACATGGATCCCTGGTCTGGTTTGTGTGAAGCTGGGTGGATGTCAGGAGAGGCTGTCTGTTGCATCAATGCTTTATCCTCTGTCTGCTAACCTCTGCAGTGGTTTGACTAACTGATGCTCTGGTAGCTAGCTCTCTGTAGAACAATCTTTTCATCTTTATTCTGGGACATGGGAACGGTATGGTCTTCTTTTGGCCTTTTACCACCTATGAACAATTATTCTGTGTGAAGTGCTTCTGTCCAGTTATTATTGTCCCATTTCTGTCTTTTCCCTCCATGTCCTCATCTTTAGGTTCTTCTTTTTTCTTCTCTATATTCACAATCCACTGATTCTTACAAAATTGTCAAATTTCAAGCTTTTAAAATGTGCAATTCCCTAATCTAGGAAAAAAGTGTCTAACGAAACCGAGCTTATTTTGTGATTTTTAGAAAGTGCTAAATGCTGTTGCTGATTACCAGTGACTGCTCAGTAAGTTCTGTTCCTGCTGATCAGCAGATCTAATCCCAATTCCCACCTGTAGCCTTTAAGCTGGTTCTTTAGTTTTGAATGTTACAGCTGACCTGACCAGCTGCTTGATGAGCACTGTGAGCCTATGATGATCTCATTAGTCTGCTTTCATTGGTCCCTCATATCTTTCTCCCTTTCCATTCATCTGGGCTGTAAGGGTTCATTAGTCTAACCAATTTTAATCAGAATTATTGTTTGTTCTGGGTTTGGTTGGAGACTTTTTTTTAGACGTATGTAACTGTGTCACATTTTTTTTCTAAGTTAACCAAAACACTGATGTTTAGTTCTGTTAGTGGAACGTTTTTCTCAAAGGCCTTATTCATAAAAATGTTTGTCAAAAATCTGTTTGGGTTTTATTTCACTCTTAATAGTCCTTTTTTTAATATATATATATAATAGTTTGTATGTCACTGTTTTTCATTAAAATAGTACGGATGTATTTCAGGCACATGCTCAGCCGCCCGAACACGTAGTAGTTCCTGTTTGAGTTGCATCTAAATTTGTGATGCAACTTTTTTTTTTTTTTTGTATGGATTGTGTTTTTCTGAATTATCTCTGTGGTGTTAAAGCTCCATCACTGCCAAGAGTAGAAGGATTGGTTGCGTCCCAGGGGCCTTGGTTTTTCTCTATTCGTACTTGCCTTCACTTAGATCAACCCTTTTTCTTATTATTTTTACCTTTCTTTTTGAGGATTTTTTTTTCTTGTTTACTGTCAAAGGTGGGATTTTTTTTTTAAAAAGCCCATTTTGTAGGCCAAGTCATGTTTTCATGTTTTTTTTTTTTGGAGGGTTGGGGTTTCTTTCCCTTCCCGAAAATCCTATTTTATTAGATATTTTTTGTAGGACCAAACACTCAACCTGAATCAGAAAAATTTAAAAACAAAACAGTTTAGACTTCACTTTAAGCTCAATAAAGGATGTCAATCTTATACAAAATGACTTTAGTTTGATTTATCCCAGAAATGGTTCAGAAACTTTGTTAAATTTAATGAAGTTGGCAAGTCTAGACCAAACACTATAGTGCATCATAATTAGAATTAAATGTGGAGCCACAGTATTTTGATATAGTGGCAGACTCTTAGGAGTAGTGATTGTTCATTTACTAATAGTTTGATGTTTGTATCTCCTTTTAGGTGGGACTAGGGGTTGTATCATTCATTTACTGTGATTGCGCCTTTAATTCTGGCCCTTTGCAAACATGACACGCTTCCTCTACTCATGCTTAGCAGTATGACACTTAACTTCATCCAAACCCACATTGTGACAAATATTAAGCTGCATCATGTGCCCCTAATGCTGTCCAAAAAGCATCTTCTCACTTTCCAAATAGGACGATTTAGCAGCTGCTTGAAAACAATGTCGCTTTAGTTGCAATGCCTCCACCCATGCCCCGTCACTTTCCTGTTTCTATAGGGATTCCATTTCCTTTAGGGTCTGCATTTGCACCAAATTTCATACGAATCAAACCTTTCCTTTGAGGTGCTTCAGTTTTTTTTTTATCAGCGAGTGTTGTCAGTTCTCCTTTGTGGTTTCAGAAGCACAGCACAAACGAAATATGCAGCTTTTTTATTATTGGATTTTTGCCTGTATTGCTTCTTTGCATCTTTAGTGATGCTTATTACTGCAGGATGAAATATTGAAGCTTTCAACATTCTAAAAGAATTGATTACCCAACTTCTTAAGTAACAGTTTTTCATGAATTAAAAACAATTTTTTCTGGTGAATTGAAAGCCACGGGGTTAAGTTGTATTTAAAACGGCAATAGTGGCTGTTTTTAATTAGCCATTTCTAAGCAGAGGTGCAGACATAGTGCCAGAGTCGGTAGAACAAACCTGTCCTGCTTGTCACTGTGACTTTCTCAAGTCCTTAAATACCTGAAACCGACAGAAGGGAGACTCGTCAGAAGTGCTCTTTGTGATGCAATGTTTTACACTGTGGCCTTTGTACCAAATCATCCAAGTGCTAATGTGAGCTGCTCTTACTGCTGGAAATTCTCCGAATGTTTTCTACTTTGTCAGTTTGAGTTTTTTCTTTGTTTTGAGCTGCATGTCGAGTTCTCCCTACTTTAAATTGTGGTGGATTTTTTTTTTTCTTTACCCAAACCTGAAAGTGCTCCTGCTTGTTGAGACTTTCTGCTCTCATTGATCCTTAGCTTTTAAAGCTCACATATATTCCTGCTGGTGAGGACAGATCCACATCTTCCAAATGCCTGTTGTAGCAGATCAGAGTTTGGGTTTTTCATTAAAAATTCCTGAGCAGAAAGAAGTGGCTTTAAAGGTTTTGCTGGTACCTACCCCAGACCTTTGTGTTCTCAACAATCAGAGCTGATTAGTTGTTTTACACTGTGAGCCCAGGGCCACCTGACTTCTTCCCTCTCCTTTGCATCAGGCCTCTCTCTGATGATAATTGTTAATCTCTGCTGAAGTTGGATCTTTTAAAAATGCTTTTTGTACAAACAATAAAACAGTATTTCATTGTCAAAGGTTGCCTTTGATTTATGCTGTTCTGTTTTTTAGGAAGGGCTAAAAAACATTTTTCAGGGGGGTTCTTTGGAAAAAAAATGAAAATTGATCTCTTTTATCCTTTAATAATCCTTATATAGTGATTTAAAGATAGTTTCCCTAAGTAAAACTTATGTATGAGTCCTAAATGACCTAAATCTTAAATCATAGATGCAATAGCAGTGCTGCTGGATGTCTAATTTAGGCAGGTCATGCTCAAATAACGGCAAAATATCAGTTTTATCAAAATATTTTTGGAAAAAAATACTCCTATATTGTCTTGTTTTCCATTTTGTCCTCTTGGAGGTACTATAGTTAAAATGAGCTTGACATGTAGAAATGTTTAACACATCTTGGTGGCAGAGTTGGGATGCTTTTATTCAACAGAGGAAAGGAAGTTGGTATGTTTTAATGTAACAATTAGATGCAGCCAAATATAGAAGTCCTCGAGGAAATCTTTTAAGGGGCCCTAAAAGCCCGGAGAGTGGCCCTGAAGATCACCTCCCTGTAAATAGACTTTCAAAAGTAATACTAAAACTTTATAAACACTAAACATAATGCTTTTATAAAAGCATGGAAATTTTATAAATTTTTTGTAATTGTTAATGGAGATGGAACTTTAAACAACTAATCTGATACTTTTAAATAAAATGTTCCTATTTGTATTGTCATGCACTGGTTTAGGGCGTGCCACTGTATAACCTGATCCAAGTTTCGACCTCAGATTTGACCCAAACGCACCGTTAGACCTTTTCACTTTCATGACGCTGTTGGGGATTTCAAGGAAAACTCGACTGATATCTTGACAGTATATATTAAATAGTCTTTTAAGATTTAAATTGTACCAAAACATTTTAAATATGTACTGTTTAGCTACAAATAAAGCGTTTTCGCATTTAATATATGCATATGTCAAACAGTAAATTCCGAGCTGTCACCAGGGACACGTGAACACACCCTGAATTCTGATTGGCTCTGGCTCGGAGCCAAACCGTCCAGCAGCAGCACACACACTTACAATAAACAGTCAAGAGGCGCACAAAGAGTTAGCTCTACGGCTAAAAACACTTTATTACCGTTGTATAGAACTATGCTGGATGAAAGCATGGGCTTATCTGATAATTACACATAACTGGGTTCGGTACGTGTAGAACAGAACATTTGGCGGATGAAGCGAACCTTGACTTCTTTTTCTCCTTAGCTTAGCTTGTTAGCTTCGCGGGTGTCAAACCGTTTCACGTCTGTCTTCAACCAGGAGTGACCAGACGCGGCTGCTGCGCCACAGCTGACCTGGACGTCGTTTTATACATCCAACGGCACGTTTTGGGTCTATTTATAAATATTTTCTTTTACGCCAGGTTTAAATAAAAGGCGTAATAAATCACCCTACAGAACAAGGAAGTCTGAATGAAATCTGCAGTTAGCTTTTTCGAATATTTGCCATTCGCGCGAGATTTGACAGTTCATCAGATGAGTTAAAGAACTGAGGAATCAAATCCAGTTGCTTTCTACGAATTAAACAACAAAGTAGGTTGCTTAAATTTGGTCCTTAGGTTGCCGTAGAGGACTCTATTAGAAACATCAGGCTGAGCTGTCCATACTTTGGCTTGTGTTTGGATTAACCCTGGAGAAACATGATTCCCGATCAAGCCCCGAAGGAGGACGTCTTCCACTGCAATGAGGACCTAAAGAAAGAGTCTCACATCCCCAGCTTTGAGCGATACAAAGAGCTCTACATCAACTCTATAGAGAATCCAGATGGTGAGTCCTTTGCCCTATTTTATTAACATAAAGCAGCATTTGGTGTTAGAGGCAGTAAATGGCTACTTGAGGAAGTATAAAAGATATAAAACATAGGGATAGACGTGTCGTAACCTGGTGAATTGCGTCTCCACACCCAGCAATGCATCCGCGTTGCTCTGTTGCTACATAGTATCTGTGAAATATTGGAGTTTCTCCAGGAATTTGTCAGATTTTGCAGTAGCAAATATTCCCAATGGAGCAAAACATGGCAGCCAAAGTTCAAACTCAGCAAAAGATGATTTATGAGGAAATGCAGCTTCCATTACTTTAGAAAAAAATAAATAAAATAGAATTGGAGGGTTTGGGATTTTATGCATAGGTTTATGTTTCCTGTTGCATAATAGACCCCATTACAATATGGATAGTTTACCCCCTGGGTTGATCCAGATATTCACTAGATAATTATACATCCCTGAAAAAACAAATTATGCTTAGAAAAATAAAAGTTTAAAAACAAAGTTTTTTTTTTTCTAAATAATTTCTACATCCAACAATTTATCCATCAGTCCATCCTTTTATTTCATTGTTCCTGGACGAGGCCGCTTTTTACACTTGCTTTTTGTATCTCTGCTTCTGTCTCCTTGAACCCCAGTCGGCCACTCACACTGAGCCTGGTTCTGCTGGAGGTTTCTTCCTGTTAAAAGGGAGTTTTTCCTCTCCACTGTTGCTACAAGCATGCTTAGTGTGAGGGATTGCCTTAGAGTCAATGATTCGATGCAATCAACTGGTTTTCCTTAGATAGAAAATCAATTTGACTGCATGATCTGGTTGAACTGTAAAGTGCCTTGAGATGACATGTGTTGTGAATTGGCACTATAGAAATAAACTGAATTGTTCCTCTCATACATCTAGGGCTGAAACGATTCATCGGATTTGTCAATTCTAGAAATAATCAACTAATTTAGCATTTGATTGTTAACTGGAGTCTAAATACTCTAAAACATGCCTTTCGCTGACAGAGCAGACCACTCAGACAAGTAATTATACCAAAGTTGTAAAAAAAAAACAAAAAAAAAACTTTTTACATTCAAGATAAAAAAGGAAAAAAAAAACTTGTTTCCCCTGGTTTTAAGTTCTGGTAAAAATTCTTTACGGAACCTTTTGCTATCTGATAATTAATCAAAAAATCAACAGATTAATCAATTAGCAAAATGATTGTTTGTTGCAGCCCTGCATACATACATGTAATATTTATCTTTCCATCCTCTTACTTACAGACTTTAGTTACTGTGAGGGCCACATTTAAAGCTTGGCCCATGTAAAAAGATATGTGCTATAATTGAGTAATATTCTAGTATTTAAGATCAAAAGCTGGATTATTTCTTCACCAGTTATAATGACTTAGTTGTCTTTGCATTACACTAAAGGAACTATTGATGGTGACCTGCTGAGGAGACCTTAATACCAACTTGTTTCATCATTTTGGAGTTGCACAATCCATCCACCCTTCCTCCTGCAAACCTGTAGTGTGACCCTGTAGTGCTCGCTTGTGATCTTGCCTTGCTAAACGTTTAATTTCCCACCAGAATTAAACTTTATGATGCTTTTTCATTTAAAAATACAACTAGTGTGATCATCTATATAAACTTCTTATTTTCCTGCTGTTGCGGTTTTATCCTAATCTTAGTCTGAACTATGGGACACAAGAAATTGTCCTTTTTTTTATTTGTATTTTTTCACCGAGTTACTTCCTGGTAAGAGCTTCCAGAGCTTAAAGGTTCCGTGTGTCTTATCTTCACTAAAGGCAGTTTGATTTGCAGTCATAAGCCAGACATAAAGACAATACGCTTTATTGAAGCACACGGTTTACTACTGTGCGGACATTTACAGTGCAGATAATTGCAGGAAGAGAAGGAGTTTGGCCCAGTTTGTAGCAAATAGTACTGAGTTGTAGCTGCATCCTGCTAGGAAAGTATCATAAACTTACAACCGTAATCATAACCCTTTTCGAGGGATCATTTAGCTCAGCCCAAACACATTTGATTTCCTCCAAGCTCTGATGTAATGCAAATAGTCTGTTAAAAGTAAAGTTGTAAATCATTCTGTACTCTTATAAGATAGTAGAGGTTAATCGTTGGACTCATTAAGAGTCTAAAAAACAGATATCCATGCTGAAACGGGAGCAGAACTGTTCTACCTCCTTTTTAGTCAGAGGTTAATTAGGGAATGTTTGCTCAACAACAGAAAAACCCCCAAAATTGGTATTTTTACCCAATTTTGTTATTATCAATATGTAATTTTGTCTTTTTTTTAATATAGATTACTTAGAAACGTCATGAAGGGCAGATGGGCTTTTTTCTAACTACCCCGTTTCTCTTCACTAGAGTTCTGGGGCGCCATTGCTAAAGACTTCTTCTGGAAGACCAAACACACAGGGCGGTTCCTGGACTACAACTTCGATGTTACCAAAGGAGAAATCTTCATCAAGTGTATGGAAGGAGCCACCACAAACATCTGCTACAACCTGCTCGACCGCAACGTCCATGAAAAGAAACTCGGTGATAAAATCGCCTTCTTCTGGTTAGTAGGAAGTTCTGTGGGCCTCATCCGATGATAATCTTATGCTTTGTCTTAAAATATAAACATCTATTGTTTTAAGTTTTTTTAATTGTTTCAAAAATAGATTAATGGGATGCTGAATAATGATAATAAACTGTTTTGAAATGAGGGAGAAACTACCCAAACCTACCTCCAACTTTGTAGTGAAGGTGATGATGTTCACCTACAGAACAACTCCTGAATGATGACCATTGATTGCTGTTTTTTTATCTACTAATGATGGTGGGATCACCACACTGGCTCTGTAAGAGATGCAGTGCCTTCATCCTCCAAACATTGTCTCCTGCTTAACCCAAATCAGGTCGCAGGAAAGACAGGAAGGGACCTCCACATCCCTCTCCCTGGTGACGATCACCATTTCTTTTTCTTCACTATGAAAGGATCTTGTACCAAGTGAAAGATTACTGATTGCAATTTGAAGCCCTTCAGCTTCTTTCAGTGTATAGGTGTCTGATGGAGCTCATCCCATATCTCTGAGGCAGAGTCTGACTCTCCTGTGAAGGAAGCTCGCTTGGACTTCTTTGGGTTACAAAGGTTACAGTTGGAACTTAACAAATGTTTTACCTCTGACCCATTTTTTCACAACCACTACAGACCAGAACAACCCCTTCAGTACTGATGACAGAGCTGAAGTCAGTCCATCCGGCCATCACTCCAGAACAAGTCACCAAGATACTGGAAGTTTATTTTTTTTACCGCGAAAGAGACATGAGGTTGACAGTCCAACTCTCTGGACTTCCTCCATAGTTCTACACAGCCAGGGGTAAACAGTTCACAGGAGGGAAGTTGGAACCCGTTCACAAATCCTTTTTTTTTTTCTTGGAACCACACCTTGATCTACATCTCAACAGGTTCTGATTCTAAGGGTGTATTCACACCTGTCAGCTTTGATCTGCAGGACCAGGATTTTTCTCACCTTGGTATAGACCTTTTTTATGCAGTTCACTTCAGGTCTATATGCAAATCGTTCTGAAATAAATACAAAAACCAAATGTCTCTTTGGACTTAGCGTAACTAAATCATACCGGATCTGCCATCTGGTTCTAAACAACACTGGTGCTAGTATACTGCAAATCTCCTACATGTGTAATGCATTCTTCGTGCCATTCCAATACTGGAAAGGGAATTATTCAAAATCTACATTGAATGAACTGCTGCTGTCACTCAGGGATTTTTCAGTTGGAATGAAAGGAAAACTATGTAAACTGGAGGTGCTTCCTAGGTATGTACTCTGTCCCGACAGAGTTCTCACCAATGGCGGCAAACATTATCACACATGTTGCTTTGATAAGTCACATTTGATCCAGACCAAACAAACAGAATAAACCCTGAAAAAGGTCAGACAAAACATCTATGCAGTATCCAGGCTTTCTAACCTCTCTGATTTGACTCCTGACAACCTGATGGACCAGATCTTCTCTCTTCCAACTATCCATTCAGCTTTTATACCTGCTAAGTTCTTTCAGGATCCCTGCAGAGGTCCTGATCACAACACAGAAGCCTACAAGGAGGCGTCTGCTGTCTTCCTGAAAACTTTAAGATGAACCCGATTGTGAAAAAGTGGAACGTTTAGACGAGTCATGTTGCACAACTGAAGTTTTTGTAATTGACCGTGACACACTCTAACCAGAGTAACCAGTTCAAACTCTCAGTTTAACTTTAGAGCGACTAACCAGAACACCCTGTTCTACTCTCTCAATTAAAATCCTCAACCATTTAAAGATGCTTTTTTTTTCTTCCTAGGGTTATCTGAACATGTCTCAGTCTTTAACACTTTTCCCTCTGTTACAGGTTAAAAATAGTTTAGAATCTGTTACATTTCTCATTTAATCATTGGTCTTTGTAAAATTTCCAGTTTTCAAGGTCAGATCTTCTATATGGAACCAACATAGAACTGTGTTAAATAGAAAAGCAACAGAAAAGGATTGAAGGGAATTGTTGGCAGTCATTCTGAGGCTTTTATTTTTTTATTTATAATATCATTATCAGCATCATTAGATTTATCTATAAAGCACTTTACAACAGCCAAAGTGAAACAAAGTGGTGTGCATCATGGATAACAAAACGATAAAGAAATACGGAAGAAAAAACTTACAGTGAGTTAATAAAGCTAAATATATAACAACAAACAAAGAATAAAAACAATAAAATGTGACAGAGCAATAAAATAGATCAAATTAATAGTAAAAGAAGGTAAAAGGAAAATAAAGTACAATTATTTTTATTATATTGAACCAACCAAACTTGATATATTAGAGGTTATTCACCATGTCATCTGGCCTTAGTCTCATGTATTCATTAGGCTAAGCTCAAAACCTACTATATATAGTTGGAGATCAGTCACCTTTAATGTAATGCACCTTTAGTATAATATTCACAGGTCCTTTTTCTATAATCCTTAATTCTTGTCCTTATATTTTTTTTTGTTATAAGAAACTAAACCAGTGGGATTCTTCATAACAAATTGTCTCTTATTCCAGGGAAGGTAATGAGCCTGGTGATGACCTGACTGTGACCTACAGAGAACTGCTGCAGAAGGTCTGCCAGTTTGCTAATGTATTAAAATCCCAGGGTAAGTTAGTCTCCCATCCATGAAGTTTTATGTATTATATTTTTATTTTCAAAGAAAAATCTTTAGCCATTTAGCCTTACTTTAAACACCGCATCTGGAGAACTTATGAAAGCGGTGATCATCACAGAGAATACATAAACAAAATAAAAAAGTAAGTCATGTTACCAACTTAACTCTTGGGGTTATCGGAATTACACATTTTTTTTATATATTTTTATAAACTGTAAAGCCTCGCAGAGTCTAATTAAATTCATTTCTAACTTCTCATATAGAAAAAAAATATTTTTTTTCTGCATAGAGCTGCAGAAAATACAGTCTCAACACAAAAACTCAGACATTTAATATCTACCCAAAGAAATGTGAAGTTCACATATGGTGAGAGATATCTTAATTCTCTTTTATCTGATCTAACAGATGCATGTAGATATTGAAGTAAAGTGTCCCAAGATCTTAGCCTTGAGGAATTCCAGGTGTTTTTTTTTTTTAATCTTATTGTAAAATAAGATGGGCACCAATTTTTGTAGTTGCTCTGTATTATTTTTACATTTCACATGTTTTAAAACCCTTTTTCTTCACGCAGCCTTACTTTCTTTAGACGTAGCTAATGTTGTGGAGTTGCTACACTAGTTTACACATCTGCACAGAGCCTCATGTAAACCCATAGATGAGGAAATTTACTAAACTCTCTGTATGCTCATAGATGATGAAATCACATGCTTTCAACAGAGTAACAGTATTTTACAGCCTCATCTCCAAATAAGCTGCAGAAGCTGGTGTAAAGAAAAGAGCTGGAGATTAGACTGGCCCCTACTATTGAGAGGCCCCTGTGTTTAGAGCCACTCTGGAAATGAACCTCACTGTTGACCAGCTTGGAAGAGCTACTGTTCTCTACACATTCAGGGTTTCTGTGCAGCCCTGGACAAGCCTGAAATTTAATAGGAAGATGTTTTTGTTGGAGAACATGGACATATTAGTATCTCAGGACTTTTCCTCACAATCATATTGTTTTCATCCGCTTCTCCATATTTGTTAAAAAAAAAAACTGTAAAATCTGATTGTTAAATTTGGAAATAGGCTCAAACATCTGAGTTTTGACACATAACTGAATAATGACTCAACTGCTTCCTTTTACCACTTCTTGACTCTGTTCCTGGACGCAGGAGTGAAAAAGGGGGACCGCGTGTCCATCTACATGCCAATGGTGGTTGAGCTGGTGGTTGCCATGTTGGCGTGTGTCCGTATCGGTGCTGTTCACTCCATCGTGGTGAGTTAGAGGACAGCGTATGTGAAGCTATCCTTTATTTTATCCATGCATGCATATGAACGCCTTGTCCACCACTGTGCCCAGTTTGCAGGTTTCTCCGCCGAGTCTTTGTGTGAGAGGATCATTGACTCTCAGTGCTCTCTGCTCATCACTGCAGGTCAGTTTCATCTCTAAGAAACCAGTTTCTGGAGCTCTGGCCAAAACATGCGTTAGTGGCTGCCTGTTTGGTTCTTGCATAATGCAAAACTTTATCACCTCTTCAGTTGGTGTGATTGGTGCAAGGAGCTGATTGGGAGATGATCCTGAGTCTGTAATCAGTCCTGTTGGACAGATTAGTCTGTGGATGAAAACCTTAATCCAACAAGCTGATGGCCTGCCTTTGAATTTAATATATCTTCATTCTTCAGGGCAGTGGATCTTTTTATTGCAAAGAAAAGAGTTCACACCCAACAGACTTTCATGTTTTGTAGAAAGAAATGATTAAAACGAATCCAAAAATTAATTAAGTTGGATACTGAAAGATGGAATCGGCAGCTTCTTTAGAAATATCAGCCATTGAGTGAAAATAAGGCACCCTTAGAGCGATAAAAAAAAAAAAAGAAACACTGAATAGTGCCTAACTACCATAACATGCAAAACAGTCTGCCTTAGCAAGGTCATTTTTATTTAAATAACACATTTCAGTGAAAGGACAATTCAAAGTAGTTTAAATGTTGAAAAAGAGCCCTTTCTCCAAGACTGCAGCATTCGGTTATATTTGATCCATATTTGAAGGTTTCTGTTCTGCTGCTCCAAATGATGCATAAATCTTCTTTCTTTTTTTTTTTGCTGTTCAGATGGTTTCTATCGAGGAGATAAGCTGATCAACCTGAAGCTCTTAGCTGATGAAGCACTGCAGAAATGTAGAGACAAGTAAGCTTCAAATACCCTTATCTCCCCCCCTCCCACACACACACACACACACACACACACATACAGACACACACATATACAGATATACCACTTGCTGACAGACACAAACCAAGCCACCAAGAGCTGAAATGCATTCAATTGATGCACATTTCATCCTAAATTTTTTTACAAAATACTTTTTTTTGTCTATAGCATTCTTTCATTTAACAATAACTACAACTCTACAATATTCTTTCAGGGGTTTACAGACCTGATGAGCACAGTAACTGAGAAATAGCCTCATTGTAAAGATACATATTAAAGAAAATTTTGAACTGCCTGATTTTTCTTTAATTTCCACAAAAGTTACTGTATTTAATTTGGATTTTATCTGAGTGACCAACACAAAACTTACATTCAGTCCTTTACTCTGATTTATTTAAATGAGCTCTCAGATGACGTCTTAAAAATAACAAAAGCTCACCTGTTTACTCTTTAAGTCTAGCTTTGCTTTAGGAGTATAGAGTTTGTTTGTTTGTTTTTTTTTTTTCTCTGATTATTTTTAACCAATTTGCATCATGAAGACTGAGCAACACAGGAGAGAGGTCAGAGAGAAACCTTTAAAACATAAATTAAAGAGCGATACAAGGCAGCCACAGCAAATTCTCAAACTCTTTGGGTTAACTTACATTTTAAAGCACCGGGGGAGAAAGTGGCTGGTTGCCCTGATGACTCTCTGAATATGTGCAAATTTTCAGTAGATCACAGAGAAGAGGGGGCTAGAAAACATATAGGTGACCAAAAAAAAACTATTGCCTATGATTTATATATTTAAACTGTGTACAGTGCATACTGATGAACACATTTTTTGTAAATATGACTGATTGAAACCTGAGGCTAGTTTCCAATGCATAGATAAGAAACTCCCACTGAAAATGAACACCTTCAAAATTATGTAAAACAAAGCGGTACATGAAGGAATGGTTGAAGCAGTAAAATTCACAACATAGTAAATGATTTATAAATATAGGCCAATGCTGGTTACACGTTTTATGCAGGATTGATGGACTTTTGGACAAAGATCTGTTTAGCAAATCCCTTAAACCAATATAAGCTGTTAAAAGATGCACAAAGCATTTACAGGACTTAAGTGCCCTCCTTTTAGCCATCATAGCAAGACTGGTGAGCTCTGAGCCACACCCTTAGTTGTCCTGTAAAAAAACAATGTATATTAACCTTTATTTTACTAAGGATATCCAATAAAGACAGATAATCTCTTTTACAAGAGTTCTGGCCATTGTTGGCAGCTGCAGAGAGGTATATGACAGAGAAACCTTCAAAACATTCAGCAACAGACCTGCTGGTCCATGTAAATGGAGCAGAAAACTTAATTCAGTTCAGTTTATTTATATAGCACCAATTCACAACACGTTATCTCAAGGCATCTCACAGAGAGAAATTAATTAGCTCATACAGTTCGATTACTTCAAAGTTTTCTATCTAAGGAAAACCAGCTGATCGATTCAATGACTCGACAGCAATCCATCACACCAAGCATGCATACACAGGCAGACCTGTCACTGCAAAAACGATCTAGAAATAAGTAAAAATTTCTTAAATTAAGTGTATTTATCCTTATTCTAAGTAGATAAATAAGATAGTTTGCCAAGGGAATGAGTATTTTTACTCTTAAAATAGGATAATTGGAAAATATGCACTTGAAATAATACAATGCAATTGTGTTTTCTTATTTTAAGTGTAAATTGTCTTGTTCCATTGCCAAAATGTCTCTTTTACCTCCTCAATTCAAGAACAAATGCATTTATTTTAAGAAAAAATTACTTATCTAGAGCCAGGCAGATGAGCTCCGAGCCAGCTCCCATGTCAGAGGATGAAACAGCACATAGTTAGTCATATTGAGAGAAACGGGGCTAATTTCTCCATAAAATAATACATTTTATGATAGTAGTCTGATATTGTCTTTATTTACATTTATTATCAAAACTGAAGTGATTTAAATTCAAGATAAAAGGGTTTTTACAACAGGAAAACAAAAGGTTTCATTTAGATATATTACCTAGACTTTTGCTTTCTACCCTATATAATGGATGCAGCTTTACATTTTTGAGATACATCCACTTCTTTGATGATAACCTATTAGACTCGGTCCATGCCGTAACAGATGACTTGCGTTTCCTCTGGATATTGGCTAACCACACCCATCAAAGCTCAATGTTAAGAGCATTGCCTTCTCTTTACTCTTTTATCACATTTGTTTTTATATCATTTATCCCCAAAATATACAACCATTATGGTTGTCTCCTGTGTGAGCAATGAAGTGTTTAAAAAAGAATAATGATAAAAATAATCTGTAGATACAATTGTATGCCACAAGATACATTTTTTTAGGGATGCACGATGTTGGGATTTTGGCCAATATCCGATATGCCGATATTTTAAAACTCATGTAGCCGATAACCGATATCGATACCGATGTTAAAGCTGGACAAAAATAAGTAGTCATTGAAAATAGCAGTTTTGTTATCCATTTCTGACACTTCGAAAAATAATATACTCAAATATATTTTCATATGCTGATATCAAATTAATTTTTAAAAACGCGGTATCGATCTATTTTACTTTCAAAATCTCGTAAAATTTCATCGTTCTGTTACAAACTCTCGTGATATTTTGCAAATTCTTGTGAGATTTTGTTAGTAAAATAGATCGATACCGCATCAATATATATCAACATATAAAAATATGGCAAAATTTCGTTAATTTTTGGGGGATTTCGTAGCATAACGATGACATATAGCAATATTTCATTAGTAAAAGAGATTGATATGGTGTTTTTAAATGGCAATATATCAGCATATGAAGATATTGTGATATTTTAATGTATCAATATTTTTTCCCTCATCTTTAGAAGTTTTTAAGTCTCTAAAAAAGAAGTTTTTGAGGAAGAAGAAGAAGTAGTATTTTTTTTTTTTTTTTACCGGTAGACTTTAGAAACTCAGAAGCTGATCAAATATCGGGTTAAATATCGGTGGGGTGGCCGATGTCCGATATTCAGTTTTAAGGCCAATACAGGCCGATACCGATAGGGGGCCGTTTATATTGTGCATCCCTATTTTTTTTTCTATGTTTTTAGCTCAGTTTGTCCATAAAAACATCTCTGAAAATAAAAACCAGTCATCTATGATTCATTTAAGCTCAGCCAGTTAAATGCCTTCCACTTCAGATTCACCTGCTTTGTGCTGATCCATCATGTAACCTTCCCCCATCCTAAAAAAAAAAAAAACAGATTAAGGTCTATGATTGTATTATTAATGCTGTTTCATGGAGATAAATGGAGAAAGTGATGCCTTCTTTTTGCATCTTTGCAGAGGTTTTCCAGTAAAGAAGTCAATCATGCTGAAGCACTTATCAAAAGAACCAGAGGGGGTTGTGGGTTCTCAGTCTCCTCCTGCCAAGCGAGTGTGTCCAGATCTGGAGGTAAAGAACACAAATTGAACACGAGGTGAAGCAGAGGCTGCTGGTTTGATTCAGAGCTCTGACAGGTTTGAAACTAGAAGGTTTCTCTGGGGACAGATCTGTAGGACAGTCTACAGAGATGTTTGGACCGAGGAAGCAATCAGAAAGTTTATTGGGCCAATATCTTTGAAATAAAGGGGCTGAAGCCTTTCTTGTGTCCTCTCCCTACTTGTCTCCTTCTGCATATTTTGTTTCTACGTCCTGCAAGCTTCTCAGTCTTCATCTACCATAATTTGATTTGATGTTGGTGTCCCTGCTTTTTGATTTTTGTTGATGCGTTTCTTTTTGATCAACTTCTTTCCCTCCTTAACCTCTCCTTCCTCCTGTTTTGCCTTCCACTCCCTCACCTCCCATCCAGCAGGAGAAAAGGACAGGAAAAGTAAAGAAAACGCGTCCTGTTCCAAAGGTATTTCCATAATCACCCTTCCTCTCTTAAAGCCTTCATGTCATCTTTGATTTTGCTTTTTGTTTTTAGATAACATGCCCTGATGTACATAATAATTGGTTGTTTGTTTTCCTTGAATGAGGGGTTTCAATCAGAGACACTAACAGAATAATATCCTCTACACTGATTTTGCAGCGTTGGTGTTTTATTCAAGTAGTTTCTGTTTGCAGCCTGAGCTTAGATGGTGTGATCTTAGAAAATTACAATATTTACAAAATCAATGACATTTCTTTTAAGGTTTTCATTATGTCCAAGTCATCATTATCGAAATAACCGGAAATGAATACTCTTATCAATCAAGCTGAAAAGATGTCTAGAATTTAAATAGTAAACTAATGCATTTTATGCATTCACTTCACTTATGATTCATATTTTGGGAAACCAGGTGTGTCCTCATTCTTTATTTTTATACTGTATTTACATTTTCCTGTTTTTATTTTTTTAACTCTGAACCTAAAGCACAATAAAAGGAAGCGAATCCATTATAAATCTTTCGTAAGTCACCGTATTGCTTCGCAACCTTTGTTTCTATCCCAGTCGCTGTGGCATAAATAAGGTTTACTAAGAAAAAGTGGGAAAAAAAGAAAAAACCTTAAATAAGGAAATATGTAAATCACCACAAAATAAAAAAAAAATCTTAGAAAAAAACAGTTCTGGTTAAAAGATTGACCTTTCTTAGTAACGCTTTTAATTCCTTGTTCTGAAAAACATTCTGAAATAGTTACAACTTTGGTTTAATGCGAGCTCTTCTCATTCATCTGCAAAGCAGTTTTGAAGAATATTGGAGAGAAGCTTTTCTTTCCTAGGTTTCTAGGTTCCGCATATGCAGGGGTATGAAATGGGGCCATAGAGTCAATAATTTCATTTTTCATTAGCATCCGACCTTTTAAAGCAATTCCAATAAATTCATTTTCCCAGCCTGGGAGGAAGAACATGACTGTACCATTAGCAGATTGAAGGAGAGGCTGACTTTGAGAAGTCCCTCTAATGGCTGGACTGAAAGGCGCTACAGAGTCCTGGTGCCATGCAAGGGAAGACAGATCATGACAACAGCATTACTGGATGATTTAAATCTAGAAAGGAAGGGCTTTTTCCTCTTGATTTATTGAGTTTGACAACTAGAGCTAAATGAGATGAAGCCATAAACTCTGGAACCAACGATGGTTCTTTCCTCTAATGACAAACCAGCTCACTTAAAGTAATTGAAGGAAGGATTGTTGTGCGATTATTTTTTTTTTTAATTGGATCCTTTTTTTCTGTTGTAACATCAGTGGCTGAGCTTAGATATTCACTAACAGAATACTAATGTTTGTAACCTCAGTCACTGATTCAGTTTAAACCTGTGCCTAACCACTTTAAAAGGTTTGTGCTTCAGACTGTAAAAATCAGCTGCACCTAATTTGTAACTTTGGAAAGTTGAATTTCATGTTTTTTTGCTCACATCCACATTGTGGGTTTTTTATTTATTTATTTATTTTTTAAGTGCTTCTTTTCCTGTTCCAGGTCCCCTGGAACCCAGATGTGGACTTGTGTTGGCACTCTCTGATGAAGGAGGCTTCAGACCAGTGTGAACCAGAGTGGTGCGAGTCTGAAGATCCTCTCTTCATTCTCTACACCAGCGGCTCCACCGGCAAACCTAAAGTAAGGAAACTCTCCACTGACAGATGCTTTGTTTTTACTCTAAACATCAGGAATGCAGTTAAAAAGATTTCTACCTCTGCCATCCATCCCTGATATCAGAGGAAAGCTTCCTGATACAGTTTGTTTATCTGTTTTCTTTCTACAGGGGGTTCTTCACACAGTGAGCGGATATTTGCTCTATGCTGCCACCACCTTTAAACTAGTGTTCGACCATCAGAACGACGACGTTTACTGGTGCACAGCAGACATCGGTTGGATCACTGGACACTCCTACATCACCTACGGGCCCCTTGCCAACGGGGCCACCAGTGTCTTGGTGAGTGCAGATGAAGGCTGCTCAGCTGTTTAGGTAGAGGTTGGACGATATGCAGGTAAATGTGTGAAATCATTCGTTTCTACTCATTTTGTTACGAACATTTTGTAGTTAAAGTAGCGACAAATTCATGTTCCTGTGAACGTAGCTCAACATATTAGTTATTCTTTTCAGGGCTCGATGTTAACCATTGCCCAATCGCCCAGGGCAAGTAGTTTTTATTGTTGGGAGAGTACAAATTTCATTGCATTTGCAAGTGCAATGATCGCAAAAAAAAATAATAATTTATCGC